GGAGGCTGAAAAAATTTTTAACTACACTGAACATCCAGTTTAGTGTATTACATCACAAAAGCAATGTGAAAAATTCTGAGCAGCCCCAATAAACATACCATAAATGTCTCATATAGAGATTTGGCTGTTTTGCTTTTTGTTTTAGTTTGGTTTTTTTCCTCTCTCTCTCTCTCTCTCTCTCTCTCTCTCTCTGGTGTTTATATGTTGATGTTGGCAGGTTTTTTTAAACCTTTGCTATGTTCAGAGCTACATAAATGCAGTTTCAGGTCTGGAACAATTAAGTATGAAGGATGTGAAGCATATTTCTACACATCTGGTAAAATGGAAAGTCTTGTCTGTTCAGAAAGGGGCTAGTTTTTGATTTCTTTGGGGTTTTGTCTTCTGTTCTGCTGGCACCAGTGCCTTTCATCATTCAGTGCAGTACAGAAATGCCAAGGTTTCCTGTATTGCAAATTCGTGGCAAGTTGGGTGCATCAGGGAAGTCGGAGTGAGTTGAAGAGGCTTAGTACTCAGTGGGAAGAAAATGTAAGTGGTTTAATGGAGATATAGAGGAATTAAGTGCTACAGACAAGGTTACACAGGAAATCAATCTACCCTGCAGATCAGGGCTGTACATCTCCAAACTGCACATCAGCAAGTCAAGAGGGAGTTGGATTGTGCTTTCAAATAAATGAATGAACTTCAGATGAGGGAAAGCGAGCTAGTAAAGCCAGCTTTCATCTGGGGGTGTACACTTCCTCACCCCAAATCTCGCTTGTGTGCACTCTCTCCTCACCTCCTTCACTCTATGCAGGTGCCTTCTTCTTCCATTGGCATGAGCTGCAGATCCACAAAAGGAGACTGGATAGGTGTCCGGTGAGACAGACCTTCCAGTGAGAATGGCAAAGCTTTGTTTGTGCTGCAGCTGCCGCTTTGTCTCCATAGAGTCATGAGCATCTCACTGGCCCCCTTGCATGACTTTGAGTGTGTCCTTTGATTTTACACCAGCTTTGCAGAAACTCAGTTCAAAGAGGCATGGATACTATTCTGTTTAGGTTGCAAAGCCATTCCCTCTCAGTCTGACTTGAGTCAGAGATCCCTTAGGGACTGTCTCACCTGTGCAGGTCTGGGAGTCTTGGTGCTGTAGCCACTCAACATCAGAGGGTTTTTTGGAAAGAGAGAGAGAGAGAGAAACAGAATGCATTTTTCTGTTTCAAGACAAAAGAGAGTCAGAGATTCCCCAGGTAAGCACAGTTGTATCTGCTTGACATTAAATGATCCTAAGGTAGTTTTAAGCAGTAATTTTAGAGAATAGCTTTTAAAAGACGCAATAGCTTCTATTTTATTTCTTGTTGATGTCTTTAGGCAATTCCCATGGATGAGAGCAGATCTCACTGTTTTTCAGTGCCATGTGAATATCTGCATTGATAGGGATTTTGTTCACATTGCGTGCAGTTGCTTTTTTAAATGTGGTGCTTCTGTGTCCAAGGAAGAGGGAGGGGAAGGTAGAGTGTGCAGTGTTTCACATGTTTATCTCGTGCATGATATTTTCAAATGGTAATTTGCATGTAATTCATGTAATTTAGTCCTTTCAGTAGGCCAGTGTTTGGTGTAGGACTCTATAACACAGTGACTTTTCTATCTTGTGCTTGTATAGCTGAAGATATTACAGAAAATAAAGGAGGTACAAATTTCAAGTAGGTGAAGAAGTAACAGCACACAGATACATGGTCTACAGCTGTGCTCACCACTGCTGGTTGTTCCCATTGTACATCCTCCAAGCCCATGTCTGCTATAGATGTACAGAAAGGCAGTATTTTGGGGCTAGTTGTGGACTGTATGAAATGGACTCTGATGAACACCTGCTCCCAAACACCACATTTCTTCCGTTATGTATCTTTAAGTGAAACCCAAAACCATAGTTAGTGTTTCTTGTGCTTAATTGGCAAAGTAGACTTAGAGTGCATACACTGAATACTGGCTATATGCCATAAAAACTATGCATACTTTGCAAAGAAAAATTAATATCAGAATTAACTCACTGGAGACCTTTTTCTTCCCCTCACCCCACCATGAAGGTCAGGCAGACTGAGACTGTGGTGCCAGCAGATCAGTAATGCAGAGAAAATTCTTGTGCAAGATTTATACTACAGTTTTGAACACATGATGCCAAAAACGTGGGTGAAGGCACTCCTCACAAATATGTGTAAAGCCCTTGTATCATGAGGCTTCTCTGAGGGCTGCAGATTATTCCCATCTCTAGTAATCAGTTCAGAGCAATTGCTGCTGTCCAAATCTCACTTAACATCAGCTGTGAAGTAACTGTTACTTTGAAACTCCTCAGTGTTCTGCTTTTGATTGAGCTGTTGCTTAAAAACAAATAAAAATAATTAAAAAAAAAAAGACAGTAAGTGAGATTATGGAAACAATTACAGAGACGTACAAGCCCACTTGTACCACTTGTACTGTATCTATCTTCATTTTTCAATTTAAAATATTCCATTAGCCAGCAGGATAGCAAAATAGTGGGGGTTTTTTTTCCAAAATGCTGGGGGGGGGTTGCCGTTCCAAATTAAGGCACCATCTTTCTGAGCCTGAGAATCCTCAGAAATGCTGATCCTCAGAGTGCTTGTCTCAAGGCTGAAGTGTGTCCTTTTGCTTTTTAATAAGGTAAAAGCATAAAAAGGTGGATAGGCTATCAGCAGGGATAAGCTTAATATCGGGTTTACCTGTTGGGACTCACAAAGGCTTCAAAGTATGCATTACTGTACAGATGGAATTTGCTCTACCCACATTTGTCAGTCTTGGGTCTTGGTATGACACAGCCTGTCACATCAGGCATCTCGCTTGGGATAACAATCCAGGCTCCTTTCAAGCCAGTAGAGAAGGAAGGGCTCTTCTACGAGGCAAGTCTCCCCATCCTGAGATTCATGTCAAGGATGGTTTGTCAGCCCACTGACATCAAGCACAGAGGGCCCTTCGCTGCTGACTGGATGGCAGTCTGTTGTCCAGCCTTTTGTCAACACTGGGTGCTAGCTGAAGGAGTGTCAGACTACTCTTAAAACATGACCCCTTTTCCTGCCCCTGGACAAGACATAAATTTATCCTCGTCTGAGAGGTTATAAATCACGCTTTGAGGGGCCGGGAGAAAGGAATGTGTTATTAAGAGGAATCAGTGCTCCATGTTTGCATTTCATTAGCACTGAGAGGCCCCAGCCAGGATCAGAATCTGGGGAGATGTGACACAATGGGTGGGTGCAAGCGCAAAGCAGGAGGGAGTTCTGAGTTTTGAAAGAGGTCACAGGAGGTTTTTTCCTGGCCTGTTAGGGTAGGGCACCCCATGAAAGTAAGGCAGCATGGAAGAAAGAGAAAGAAGCTGACATGTTGGTGATTAGTTGCAAAGGAAGGAACAAATATGGGAGATTTCAGCTGTACAGTCAGATGCAATTTAATGCAGTAAAACAGAGGACTTAAATATCCCAGTCACTGTCTTATGTCTCATTGAAACATGAGAGGTAAAGCTGCTCTGAAAATGGTGCCAGCCAAGGTGGTCCATTTTCCCAGCTACTGAGTGCTGAAAATGCATGTACCTGGAAGAAAATGGGAAATGTATGAAAATCAAATGTGACAGGGACTACATCACACTACCATTCAAAATGTGTTAGTGGTATTTGTTGATAGCCAATCTGCTAAAACCATGTTTTCTTCAGACTCAAAGTGTGCAGGAAATCACCTCCTGTAAATGTGCCCCTTGGGGACCTTTGTGTTAGAAAAGGCTTTGAATATCAGACAACTTTTGTGTTGTATGGAGCTTTCCAGTAACTCCAGTGGAATCAGTCACTCAATAATAGCATTGTTCCACCTGAGGGTAGAAACTGTCTTTCAGAAACAAAAATGACCTGAAGTTGTGTCAGGGCAGGTTTAGGTTGCATATTAGAAAAAGGTTCTTCCCCCAGAGAGTGGTGGGGCACTGAACAGGCTCCTCATGGCAGTGGTCAAAGCATCAAGCCTGACAGAGTTCAAGAAGCATTTGGACAATACCCTAAGGCACAGGTTGTGACTCCTGGGCATGGTCCTGTGCAGGGCCAGGAGTTGGACTCGATTATCCTTGTGCATCTCTTCCAACTCAGCATATTCAGTGATTCTGTGAAAATATTGGGATTTTTTTGAGCACAGTAACAAAATATCTTACTTCTGTATGTCTGGACATGGTTAAACAAAATCCATCCAGGAATCTTCACCACGTTTTACGGTTTGCAGATAGCCACTTCAGTCAGTTTTAGCCATTTGAAACACTCCATGATCATGAACCCATCTGCAGGAGATGCTAGGTTGGCCTCTGGATCAAAAATTCCTGCAGACACAGTCGTGACAACAGTATATGCACAGGAAGGTTCAAAGCCTCCAACATCCCTGTCCTCTTCCTTCTACGTAGTCGAACCAGGGTAGCCACAGCTCTCATTTATGAGCAAGGGGAGAGACATTCAGCACTCAGCCTTTCACCCTCTCCCTTGGGAAGAACAAAATAGCTGGACTGAGGGCTTGAATCAGCACAGGGCCTCAGGTTAAGCTTCCTGAAAAATACCTACTTCAGGGCTATGCCAGGAAGAAACCTCATCCAGTTCCTGATTTTATTGGACGCTGTATCAGCAATCTGTAATGACTCTCACACCCCAAAATCACTGGAATGCAATCAATGCAATGTAAGTTGCTGCACATAAATGATACATTTTTAATTAAATAGATGTGAGTGTTGCAAAAATTAAAGGTCACTTCATGGACAAGGCTAGGGAAACCCTCACTTCCTCCCATACTGAGTGTGGGGATTGTGTATGTCTAAGGTTTGTATTTAAACTCCACTCCCTGTGTCAGTCAACAAAATACAAGGGCAAATAATTAGTGCTTGTGTTAAGACTTGCCAGATCATCCCTAGCCTTTCTTCTTCCCTCTCATATAAGTACACTTACCAGTCAGAAAGAAAAACAACCTCTGATCCATATATTTGCTCTTGTCTTTTCCAGCCACTTCCACATCTACAACTGGGACAAGTCATCTCACAAAATGTGACGTAAAGCAGAAAGCCTTCTGTGTAAATGGGGGAGAGTGTTACATGGTTAAAGACCTCCCAAACCCCCCAAGATACCTGTGCAGGTAAGAAATCCTACTTGCCTCTTTTGTTGGAGCCACCGGTTTTCACAAATGGTTTTTCTTCAAAGGAGCACCTGAACAATTTCTTCTTCTGAACTTGCATTTCTTCGTTTTTAACCATGTGGATGTGAAAATAACGCACCAAGGCTGACTTCTGTGTTCTATATATGAGGCACAGCAGGGACTAACCACGACATCTACCCACATCATAATGGCACAGCAACCTCCATTGATGTTTACATGGCATAAAGTAACAAAACTTGAGCCTTATTGTTAGAAATAATGAAACAGATACTGGAAACTAAATACACAGTATTTAGAAGAAAAAAAAAGAAAGAAAAGGTGTGTGGATCACTGCATGGGATAATTACCCTTTGTACAGGAGAAACTGGTGATTTTATTGTCTGATGCAGTAACTGAACACTTTCTGAGGAGATCAGATTCACAACTGGTTGTTGTGTTTAATTGCATAAAAAGCACCGAATGTCATGTTAGTTGGTGAAGGTTGCTATTTTGTGTGAGGATCTTGATTCAGGAAGTCATATGGATTTAATTTAAGGGGGTGCTTGTGCACCTTCCTCAGGTCCTGGCCTGTGCTGTTTTGGACTGTTGCAATAGTCCCTTGTGTTAGAGAACACCCAGGAAGAGCTACAGCACTGGAGTTCATCTCCTGCCTGGGAGCACATCACGTAGCATTTATCCCTGGAGATGAACTAATCATAGGGACTGCTTCTCTGTAGCTTGAGAGGCAACTCAGCATTTAAACCTTGGGAAACATCACTGGTACCTAAGAGGGCTGAGTGGAAAGGGTGCACTTTTGTGAGAATATTGCTGTTTTTCTGGCAGGCAAGAGATGGTGGTTGGTAAAGGCTGTCATCAGCTGTAATTGCGTAATTTTTCAGTCTCCTGGGACTAAAAGTGAAAGAACACTAATTGTAAAGATAACTTTGGTGGGTGTGTTAGGTGAAGGTCTATGATGCTTTCACTAGGCCGGGAAGACATTGACTGCTTGTCCCCGTTGTTAATGTAAAAAAAAATAA